TTTAACAAATAAATTGTCATCTCCTAATGTCAAGCTGACCACGTTGAGAGCCTAGACACATTGATAAATTATTTCTTTCCGTGTAGATCTTAATTGAGATAGTAAAATTGCATCTAGATCAGCAGGAATGACTAGATTTGATCTTTGGCAAGAAATATAACGGCAATATTTTGGCAACTGCTGGACTATATCACATTAAACAGATACTAAGAACAGATATGAATTGACATGCAATAGTATCCAAACCAGGGTCGATACCCCATCCCTGTAAAATGAACTAATCAGTAAAGGACGTGGGAGAAAATGCTTACAGTCCTCTGTTCCGTTGGGGATGCATTTGCAAGAGCAGATGCCAAAGCCCCGATTGGCTGAGGCATTCTCACATCACGCAAGGGCATATTACCCATTTCATATGGGACAGAGCGCATACCCCCAGCCACACCTTGCATGGGACCATCTGGCATTCCATGCCCAGGAGGATAACGGTACGCACGTCCCCTTGGAAGCATCTGAACCATAGAAATTACGTAACAATCGAAGAAATGGTTTGGAGATTAAAAAGAAAGAAGGCACAAGTTAAAGCATTAAAAACCTGTTGCTGCATTACTGGAACTGGTTGTGGGTTCTGCTGCATCGGAACAGTATTGGAGCGTCTGCCACCAGGACGTGGACCTTGCTGCCCTTGCTGAACCAGAGGCAGAAAGACATTTGGCATGAGAGGCCCAGCAGGCCTCATACCAGGAACAAGTTGCTGTTGATACCCAAATCCAGGCTATAAAATCAGGCAAAAGAATTGTCAATATCCTTAGCCAAGAAAATCGCCTACACCTTAAATCAGTGATGATATTACATTGATGACAACACTTCAAATTTAGTTGCATGTCAAGAAACATATAATCAAATATTTGATCTGTTTAATTGGCATATGTCAATTCTATAGATGATCCCAGAATCCCAGATTCAGATGCCAGATTCACTAATAAAAGCCGTTCCACCATTTTTGAGCTTTCACCCTTGAAAGGAATTCTTTGTGTCACTCTCTCTCTCTCCCCCTTCTCTCTCTGTAAGCATCTCTGCATGTGCGAGGGAGAAGAAAGTGCAGGGATCACAAAGCACAAGAAAGCAAAAGAAAAAAAAATGCAATCTGTATTGACCCATTTTTATCATTATCTTTCTTCATAAAATTCGTATATTAAATCGATCTTTTCAATTTTCTGTTGCCTCAAACCCCTAAAAATTAGTGCAGGTTAAATAATTTTCTCATCCATTAAATAAAATCCAGGTTATAAAAATGAATGCAGAAGCTTCATACTTGCAACACAAAAATCAGGAAGCAAGTTTGAATTGATAACCTCTTCAAGAATAAGAATATATATAGTAAAAATCAAACACCAGTTATGTTTTTAAGGACAAAATTATCTAATAATATGAACATCAAAATCATCTTGCCGTCAGAAATTTCAAACTGTAACAATATGAAGATATAATTACTTGTGGAGGAATCATGGCAGGTGGAGGTTGCCCATAGAATATATGTTGCCCTAGACCAGGACCACCCGGGGCATACATTGGCATACGAGGAGCGACTGTAGGTGCCATAGTAATCGGTCGTACTTGAGAAAATTGAGCCTGGATAAAATGATTTGGAAAAACAACATATTCATATATTTATTATTTTTATTGACAATGTATGCCATAAACTGAAAATATACAGATCAACATAAAAGAAATGCATTAAAATCACAAGCAATTAAATCATTGAAGAAGCAGCAGAAAGTTTTTACCTTTCAACGTGGAGAATGAAGATAGCAGCAGTATTAAAGTGCATTATATGTTGCATATAGCAACAAGGCAATGTTTAGCCCTTAAATTTTTTAATTTTTAGTTTTTATTTATTTTCAATTTTCCCATCAGCTTCTGGAATAATAGATTAAATAGGAGCCTAGGAAATACCTGTAACCGTGCTCTTCTATCTTCTTTCCTTTGAGCAGGGGCAACATAAAGAGGTTTGCTAACAATAATCTTGCCATTCATTTCTAAGAGCTAAAACAACATACAAATAACTGTTAAAATTTCCTTCTTTGAAGGATGACTGGCTCAAGATGTCTTAATGAGGAGAATACTTACAGCTCTAGAAGCCTCTTCAGGCGATAAGAAAGCAACAAAACCAGATCCTCTGCTTATTCCTTTCGGATCTCGCATCACCTATACGAAGGATTAGTACAATTTTCACAAACTGCAGCTGATTAACACACTTATAAATTGTCTATAGTCTATAGTGACATTCCCAACCAGAAGCAGAAACATCTACCAACCTTGCATGATGTTATCGATCCAAATGGAGAGAACACTTCCCTAAGCTCATCATCTCCAATGCTATCATCCAGATTTTTGACATATAGGTTGGACCCCTGTGATTTATCAACTGCTTCCTTCACACTCTGCTCAAATTGGAGTTTCAATTCTAGCTCCCTCTCAGATTTCTTTTGGGCCCTTCCAACAAACCAATCCTTGTTATCAAATTTCTTACCATTAAGCAACTCAACAGATCTAGCAGCATCCTCTGCATTCTCAAAGTTTACAAATCCGAAACATTTTGACTTTCCATCTTCATTTCTCATCACAACAACACTGGTGAGTAATCCATATTCACCAAATATCTTCCTCAGGTCTTCTTCAATTGTTTCTTCAGACATGTTCTTCACAAACACATTCGTAAATTTTGTCTTGTCTACTGACATCTCTCTTTCTTGCTTTCGAACAAAAGGTCCTACATAAACTTGTTTTCCATTCAAAAGCATACCGTTTAGATTCTCTATAGCATTTTGGGCAGCTTCCTCACTAGTGAATTGCACAAAACCATAGCCCTTCGATTGACCGGAAGCATCTGTTGCTACTTTGCACGACAGAACATTCCCAAATGAAGAAAATGTCTCGTGTAGTGCTTTGTGATCAATTTCTTTGTCCAAATTCTGCCACGGTAAACATGTAAGAGAAGTGGCGAAAAGACTTGTAGAAATCAAAAGAAAAAAGATATGTATAAATACCTTAATAAATATGTTCCCAGCACCGCTTCTGCGCACACTGGGATCTCGATGAGAATACATTATCCTAATAGGTTTTCCATTGAGAGGAGTGAAGTTCAGCTCCTCCAAGGCTCTCTCCGCTGTCATGAATGTAAAAGCATTATTATTGACAATTAAACGACCGTCACCCAACTAAAACATGCCCCTGGGAGGCTAAAAAGTGTGAAATTTGAATATGAAAATGAAAAATGGGCTTCATAAAACCAACTGGGCAATACAAATTTAAAAATAAATGGAAGATTGTAACTTAACCAAAACTTTATGGGCTATCAATTGCAGTTTACAAGTTTTCCCAAGTTGTGATTTTCTGGGACTACCTTGGAAATCGAAGAATATCTTACCACAGAAAAAAAATTGACCAGTTTCCATCAAATGTGATCTTGCATTCAAAAATTTAATAGGCAAATATTTGTATGTACATAATTTTCAAACGTGAAGTCAAGATCACCGCAGATAGTAAAAGGGAAAATTTTCATTGTGTGATCTAAAACACCGGACTCGCAAATAGTTTCAAGCATATACAGGATACCTTAAACTGGAAACTGGGGCATTCACAGCTTAAACAAACTATTGAGAATTGATCATTAGTTAATGTTAAACAATTACATATTTGAAGCATAAAACCACCATGTCATCAGAAGCATATGTGCACAATCATTATATGCAGCTATGAACCAAGTAGCAACAGCTACGCTAGATTAATGAATCAATATTCTGGTTCTCCTATACACAGGTCCTTTCTCTGATTGTACTAAACTAATATTTATATTCATGTTCAGAAAATTCACAGTTAATTTTGAACATACATCGTACAAATCATCTTTGAAAATCCACTTTCCTGTCGCAAGTTCCAATAACAAAATCAAGCATAGCGATTACCACTAAAATGAAATTATTAGGAATAGTAATCAAATATAAATTACGAACCATCTTGACGGTTTCCGTAGTTGACATAACCATACCCAAGTGACCGCCCGATAGTCAGGTCCCTACAAACCCTAACAGATACTACATCTCCCATCTGGGAAAAGAGATCATAGAGTTGCGAATCCGTCACGTTTACGTCGAGGTCACCCACGTACAGCGACGTCACAAACTGGGCGCTTCCAGCAGCCCCCGCAGTCACTGCCTGCATCTGAACCTGCGTCGCCATCTCAGTCCAAAAACCTTTAAAGAAATTTTTTTCCCCCTTCTACGGAGAGTTTTCTTCTTCTTTTTTTTTTTTTTTTTGGTATTTTTTCTTTTCACTTCCCTCTCCTCTTCTTATTTTCAATCAAAAAGAAAGAACACGCAAATCGAATTTAATCTGCTTGACTGCAGGTGAAAAAGAATATCAGATTGTACGGATTTAGGTTTTTTTTTT